GAGAATTTTTAAATCTATGAACGATTGAGCAAATATTGGATAATATGTATTGGCAGAGAATCGTCATAGAGTTTTTTTGATGGGGTTCATATGAAGAAGTAAGAAGAGCCCTTAAGCTGAATAGATGGGAAATAAAAATTTTAACTAGACTCACTCATTCTATATACAAATCATACCAAACTTCATTCTATAAACAGCTGTTGAGGCTAAACAAGAATCTCATATTCATTGATTCCAACTGAAATTGTGTATATGAATCAGAATCAGAATTTCTTATTAGACTCCCATTTATATGAATTTAATACATGATATAAGCAGTTCAGCAAGAAAATATCTGACTTTGTAACATATGATTATCATATGTTCCCAATTGGGTTCACTTCAATCCAATTAGACAGTTGACATATGCAGATTCCATCAGATCAGACATTTGCCAACTGCTGGCTCTTTCAATTAGATTTCCAAGCCCAAATGAAATTGTCTTGGCATTATAGTGTTCTATACATCTGCATTTCATATAGACACATTTTGTGCACTTTATAATTCACTTAGTGTAAGATCCATTAAACTAATCCCACCCACACACATGTTGAAATACCTTTCAGGTATTTCTGTTGGCTGCGTTTGGCAAAGTGTTTGGCCATTGTTTGACGTGTCCTTCACGAACGAATATCTCACTTTGTTTTTCTCGCACTAAAAATTGATGTGCATGACAGCAAAAAGCCAGAAAAATAAATAAAATGTATATATAAATGAAAAGAAAAAAAATTCATCACATTTCTGCGTAGACAATAAACATTGCAAAATGAGGCAAACAAAAAAAAAGAAGAAAGAAATGAAAAAGAATTAAAATTAAAATGAAAAAATACTTACGTTTGCAAGCGAAACTCAAGCTAAATACCTTGGCAAAGCGACAACAATGAGCACACATAGATTAAGTAACTAAGAAATGGGCTAGTACACAGCGAGAAAAATGAGCAGAGAATATAAATAAAGACAGCAAAATAAAGATGATGAACTATTGATGCGTAGCAAAGGTGGCAGGAGGTGGGATCACATGAAACTGAAAAGTTAAATATAAATTGGTTTTAGTAGAAATGAAAATTATTTAAGAACTGTGGAGAGGTACTTAGAGAGTATTTTATGAAGCATTTATAGATATGACAGTTAGAGCTTGGATAACAGCTGGCAAGATATAAAGCTGACAATGTTAATGTTATTTTGATTGAAGGGCTATGTAAAGATAACCCAAGAGTGAGTCTAAGATCATGCTTGTAGCTTTGGTATACATGTACATTCATTAGGTGATATAGATAACATAATATTATAATGGACTAAACTTAATACATAGCTGATAAGAATATAGCTAATTAGTAAAATGCTGAATATAGAAATATAGAAAAAGTATAATATATAGATATATAGGCATATATTCATTTATAATAGAGATATTAGATATATGATTTACATATGAACTAAAAGATCTAAGATTCTTTAACTTTGTCTCAAGCCAAAGAACTTTTAGAATTGAAAGCATAAAAGCTGAAGTGAGAGCTGAAATTGCGATTATGACACATTGAGCGTTTAAAAAGAGTTCTTCAAGACTCAATCATTGTCTGAAGAGTATCTATAAATAGTTTGTTAATAGATTTAGCTCAACTGAGAGCTATTCAAATGATACAAATGTACAGTTCATAATAAATTCAGTTCATTCATAAATTATAATATATATTTTAAGCTACTACAAAAGTATAAACTAGAGCTTAATGTAGATCTACAGTTCTTAGGCCAGTAGAAATAAGCTCACTTAAGACCTACAGCTCTCAGTTCACTTAATATGATCTACAGCTCCTAGTCGTATACTAAACCTTATTAGATGAATCAACAGTTTGATTGCAATTAGTTGGCAGCCCTCAGCGACATAGCAAATGCATTTGCAAGCCGATTTTAAATAGATGTATGCATGTATATTTAAATATATGTATGTTAGTATAAACCAAAGTAGAATTCACCTACGCCTAAAATTAGACGCATGATGCGAGTGGCAGATTCTGTGTACCCCACGATGGGGCACTCAGGCAGCAATGCTAGGCATGTAAACGCGCTATTTGTGACAAGTTCGATGTCTTTATCAAGCGTATAAATAAATTTAAAAATTTTCGCCGAACAATGCGATTTTTGACAATGCCACAAAACATCGGCCAGCGAGCTGAACACTGAACGCTGAATGCTGAGTGTTGAGAAAAATTCAATTTTGTGGGTCAGAGCATTGGGGCCAAAAATAAAGCGCAGACTGAAGCAAGCGAATGAAAGCGACGTCGAGGTGACGGCTTTAAGTTAAACTTAAGCGACTTTTCTGGGGGCAACTTCCAAACAGAGACCAACTAAATGAATGAATTGATATGTAACTCTATTGTGCAATTGCTGTTCTATATGACTTCCTTAGCAAGCAGACCAGCATTGAGATCGAGCAGCTGAATGCTCGCGTCGTTGAGGCCGAGACCCGGCTGAAGACCGAGGTGACACGCATCAAGAAGAAGCTGCAGATCCAGATCACCGAGCTGGAGATGTCCCTGGATGTGGCCAACAAGACCAACATTGATCTGCAGAAGGTGATCAAGAAGCAGTCGCTGCAGCTGACCGAACTCCAGGCCCACTACGAAGATGTTCAGCGCCAGCTGCAGGCCACCCTCGATCAGTACGGCGTTGCCCAGCGCCGTCTGGCCGGCCTCAATGGCGAGCTGGAGGAGGTGCGCTCGCATCTGGATAGCGCCAACCGTGCCAAGCGCACCGTGGAGATCCAGTACGAGGAGGCCAACACACGCATCAACGAGCTGACCAGCGCCAACGTGAACCTGGTGTCGCTCAAGTCGAAGCTGGAACAGGAATTGAGCGTTGTCGCTTCCGACTACGAGGAGGTGTCCAAGGAGCTGCGCATCAGCGACGAGCGCTACCAGAAGATCCAGGTCGAGCTGAAGCATGTCGTCGAGCAGGTGCATGAGGAGCAGGAGCGCTGCGTCAAGCTGGAGACCATCAAGAAGTCTTTGGAAGTCGAAGTCAAGGTAGGCGCCAGACGAAAACTCTTAAATATTCTCTTACTATATATGTATATCGTTATCTTCCGCACAGAACTTGTCCATTCGCCTGGAGGAAGTTGAGCTGAACGCCGTTGCCGGTAGCAAGCGCATCATCAGCAAACTGGAGGCACGCATTCGTGATCTGGAACTGGAGCTGGAGGAGGAGAAGCGCCGTCATGCCGAGACCATCAAGATCTTGCGCAAGAAGGAGCGCACCGTCAAGGAGGTGATGGTACAGTGCGAGGAGGACCAGAAGAACATCATCTTGCTGCAGGATGCGCTGGACAAGACCACTGCCAAGATCAACATCTACAGACGCCAGCTGTGCGAGCAGGAGGGCGTCTCCCAGCAGACGACCACCCGTGTCCGCCGTTTCCAGCGCGAACTGGAGGCGGCCGAGGATCGTGCCGATGTTGCCGAATCCAATTTGAATCTGATCCGCGCCAAGCACCGCACATTCGTCACCACCTCCACTGTGCCCGGCTCTCAGGTGTACATTCAGGAGACAACAAGAACGATCACCGAATAGATCAATCTCACTGATCCACCCCCCACACACACACACCACACCCACACAAATACACATACACACCCACACTGAAACACACACAAACACAGTCCCAGCAGAAACATTTTATAATTTATGAAAAAGGCAATAAGAACAGCCATCAGTATGCAGAAAATGAAAATGTAGAAGAAGAAGAAGATCTTGAGATTGAATTGAATATTTGCTTGAGAGAAACTTTTATAATTTAAATTTTTTTCAGAGCTTGCGAGAGTTCGTATAGGTTATACATTATAAATACATAACACTACACATCTCCTATCTATTTTATAATAATAATAATATTTTGAAGTTCATGTAATTTAATTAAAATAATGAACCTAAAACCTAAAAAAAAACCAATAAAATTACAAAAGTAAAACTACAGCGGTTTTGCAGCGAAAGAGAGAGAGAGAGAGAGAGAGAGAGAAAGAGAAAGAGAGAGAGTGTTTACTTATAGAGTTTGGCTGACCTAAAACAAATCAATGATCGACCCCAAAAATATATAAAAATAAAATAAAAATAAATTCAAAACACTATGAAAACGAGTTACCCGAGTTACAACCGCTTCTACTTGTTTTTAGTTCATTTTATGTTTAGTAGGTAAATATCTGTGTGCTCGTAACGAATTCATTTTCGATGATTAAAACAAAAACGATTAAGAAAAACTGAGCAATTTTCATATTTTTACTTTGTATTTTGCAATAAAAACTGAATTTTACTTATATAATAATAACTAAAAAGAAAACTGAATTTGCTCTAGAAGAGTTTTTACTAATTGGGGTATGTTAGAGAATGAGAAATTGGTTAGAGAATCCAGGTACTAGCTTTGCTTTCAATCAGTAATAAGGTATATCAATTCCAATCAAAAAAAATTTTTAATAAAAATCTGAATATGAATAGAACTTTAGTTATTAGAAACAAAACTACATTAAAAACAAATTTTTGTTCTGTATAGATACAAGGCATAAAGAGTTCAAATAAAATTGAGCAAAGATACTATATAGATAAAAGTTTTTCTGCTCTTGCCACAATTAGAGCTTTAAGAGAACTCTGATATGACTTATGCTGAGAGTTGAGTTGAAATCAAAATATTTTGCAAATTTCATTCATGTATTATTTCGTGATTAAACTTTAGCATTCAATGTTTTTATAAGAACATTTCATTATCTCAGCTCGAATTATCTCAGACAGAAATTTAGCTGGCTCATGTTGAGGGCAAGAAAAACTTAGAGCTATAATAGTGCATAAAGAAAGATATCAGTATGAAATTCACAAGCATTTCGGGGAAGTTTGTAGAGGAAACTTCCAGAAACACACTTAGACTAGTAACTGCTTTAGCCCCATTTCCCTTCATGAAAACATACACAAAAGAAAAATTTTTGTTTTGTTTAAACTAATCACTATTTATTAAGACTTTCAACTGGTTGGGGACAAGTTGAGTGTCCAAACAAATTAGGCAGCAGAGACTGCCAGCTTGGAGCCAGTGTTCAGGATGACAGTCTTATCGCCGTAGAGACCGCCGTAGCTGCTCTTCTTGAAGACTGCAATGAGAATAGGAAGAGAGAGATCTTTAGCAAGCCGCACAGATTGATAGAGATTTCGTAGTAGTAACTAACCTGGATCGATCTCGGCAACGAAGGAACGTGGTGGCAGAGCAGCAGCGTAGAGCTTGTCCAGTGGGCCGTAGGGCTTGGCCAGCAGAGGCTTGCCCTGCTCCCAGCCATAACGGTTCAGGGCATACCAGTCGGTGCCGTCCAATTTGGCTGAGGCGGCGGCGGCGCCAGCGGCATTGGTCAGAGCAGCGGCCTGAGCCTCGGCGGTATCGGAGGGCTTGACGTAGTCGGCATAGCTGCCATGGCTATAGTCATTGCTGCGGTAGGCCAGGTTGGGTCTGTAGGCCAAGCAGACGCTGATGCAGCAGGCCATCAGGCAGAGCAAACGCATTGAGCTGGCGGACATTTTGTTGGTTCGATGGTGCGAGGAAGCGACTGTTTTCCAAACTAATTGACAATTGCGCATGGCCAAATTGCTTTTATAGCCATGTTATTTGTGTTGGCCAGCGATTTGTGTGTGCGCTTTACGTGACCAAATGCCCAGTCAGACCGACGACTCATGACGAAACTTTAGGGGGGCCGGCTAGCTAACCCAGAGTGGTGGCTGCATCGCTGCACCAAAATCCCACTGCCGTGTGCCACAGATAAGGTGGCAGCGAGAGTGAAAGAGAGAGAGGGAGAGGGAGAGAGAGAGATGCTGTCTTCGGGTTACAGTTTGGGGCAGTCGGTGTCAGTTTACGCTTGAAATTGCGCGCCAAAAGTAAATTCAACTCAGCCACAACCACGACCACAACCACAACCACGACTACGACAATGACAATAACAATGACAATGACGACAAGCCAAAGAGCAAGTAGCTCCCATTGATATCTAATTGGTTGCACCCCTCTGCTTGGCACGCTCGGCCCGCTTTTCGCGTGTGCGGTATCAGGTCTTTGACTTGGCTACCTGCTGCCGCAGCAGCATCTCTCATTGCTGCTCAATGAACCCCGTCGTCGCAGCAGCATCATGTGGGCTGTGTGGATGCATTCGAGCGCACATTCATCACCTCTGTGTCATGTGGCCGCATACGTAGTCAGCAGCTCTAATGGCGCATTGATAGTCTGCGCTTGGTATGCGCAAGACTCTGCTGCATTTGGACTCCAGCGCAGTCTAACCATGTCCATGAGTCTAGCTCTGGTTACTTTTAATCTGGCTGCATGCAAAGTGGTTGAACTGATAAGCGAGCTTAACTTGGGATGAGCAGAGAGAGAGAGAGAGAGAGAGATTGTGTGAGAAAGGGTGATGAGTAAAGAGAGGAAGAGAGAGAGGGACAGAGAGTTCCATGTGTGTGTGATCCACACAACGAATTGCTTTTTTTGTAGCTCAACTTGAGCTGCCATGAAATATGAGAGCTTTAAGCTTGTTTTAATCAATGTACAGTGGGTACTCGTATGACAGCAACTGACACAGTTTATGGAGTGTGTGGTATGTAGTTAAAGATGTCACACGTACCTACTGATATGAAGCTTAAAAGCTTATATGTAATGATCTAAATTTGGCTCTCAATGAGAAGAAAAATATTTGATTGAGAGTTATAAATTGGATTAGGCATTATGATATTTCCCCAATTTCAAAGTCAAGTCTGTGTCTAATATTAGCAAAGCCAATATACTCGCTTTGCTTTGTGAATGAGTATATATTGAGAACTAGTTAGAGTATATACACTGCACTCTAACTTAAATTATGGTAGGACAGTATGACATCTGTGCTATATTTAGTACAGCATAGTGTAGGACAGTACATATTAATATAGTATAATTAAATATAATATAATATAGTATATTATAGTATGGTATAGTATAGTATATTACAATATATTGTGTGGTATAGTATCGAATGCTATACTATCGTCCATATACAGTACTTACTAGAGTATCAAAACATATGAGATAAAACATATGCAATATTCATACTAAACTTTTGTACCTACTCGAATACAAATCGATCTAGGGGCTCTATGATAAAACTACTTTGTTTTATAATAAAGCTCCCAACAAAACTCTACAACTCTATTGATTATTCTGCCAAAAATAATATAAATAAATACAACATTTTATATTATTTATATTCTTCTTCTTTTAAAGCAACGATTGGCTTTATACGTTGGCATAGGCATTAAGCACGCACGGCATTCCCGGCCGTCGTTTTCGCTACAATCAAAGCTAAGCTTCAAGTCAAAAACAAAAACAGCAGCAGCTGCAGCTGCCAAACATCGGCGGCGACCGGAACCACTTATCAGACGCACTCATACACACACTCATACACACACTCAGACTCAGACAACCCACTCAAGGCCACACACTTCAGTATGACCGTATTATCAGTAAAAACAATTTTCTGGCTTTCTGTTTGTCACAATTTTATTTAGCGCTTTTGGCACAACGAACTCATCCAGCTTTGAGATTCGAACGGATGTTGAGGGAAGAGTTCTCGGAACGGAGGATCAAGCTCTTAGTACCTGAGTCCCTCGTTGTAGCTGCCGTAGTTGTTCTCGGGCAAGTACAGCTTGGCAACTGGGGGAGCGGCGCGCACGGGCAGCACCACCTTCGAGTACTCGACGGGCGAGACGATGCGGCGGTAGTGGTTGCGGCCAGGGTACAGCAGAGTGGCGCCAGCGGGCTCCACCGAGTAGCGAGGCTGGTTGTAGCCGCGCTGGCGGTAACCGCTGGACCAGCCGCCCAGACCACCCAGACCGCCCAAACCGCCCAGGCCGAGACCGCCAATGTGTCCGATCTTGCCGTGTCCACGGCCATGTCCGCTGATGCCGCTGATGCCGCCATGACCATAGCCGGAGTCGATCAGGATGGGGCGCAGTTGCTCGCTGCCGCCATAACGGGGACCGGCAATGATCTCAACGGGACTGTCATTGCCACCGGCAGCAGCGGCGCTGGATGCGGCCGCGGCGCCGCCACCCTCCGAGCGATGAGCGTAGTTGGAGACTCTGCGGAGTCCGCCGTAGATGGGTCCGCTGCCGTAGCTGCAGCTGCCGACGGCCAAATAGGCGCAGATGAATACCGCAAGGGTCTGTGAGTGGAAGATGCGACGGGTCAGAGATCGATGCCAATGGGTAACGGGAACGGTAACGGGAACGGGAAGTGATCTTCGTCATGGTACTTACGGCGAACTTGTTCATGGCTGTACTTTCGTGTTGTATTTGGGGGGCGCTCGCTGCTCGAAACAGTTGGCACAATTAACAAACCAAATGCCAAGCACACTTCTTTATATAAGCAAAAGAATTGAAGCACTCGAAACGTGATCTCGCTGCGAATTTATCACGCCGCTGGCTGCAGCTCGCCCCAGCCCAGCTCAGCTTGGCTCAGCTCAGTTCAGTTCAGCTCAGCTTGGCTTGGTTTGGCTCAGCTCAGGTTCAACGGCGTCGTCTCGCATCTCGTCAACGTTGAGGGCGGCTCAGTCCAGCAAGCGGCTGCCGCTGCTTGTCCAAATCGTGGCTCGATATCACCACTCGAGCAGCTTCACACTTCAAGCTGCTGCTGGCGCTGATATCGCCCACATTTGAATGCAGCAGCCGCCCACAATGTGGGGTGGATGCTGCTCACACTTTAGGGTGGCTCAAAACGCACAGCCGCAGCTTCGTGTGAGCATGCAGCTGGATAAGCAACAGCAGCAGCAGCAGCAGCAGCAGCGACAGCATCAACAGCTGTTGCTAACTAGGCCTCTCTCTCTCTCTCTCTCTCTCTCTTTTGAAAAGTTGTTTACTATTTAAAGATTGGCTATACAATAGCTCAATTTTTTATATATAGAAGATATATATTATATATGGAAATATGTGGAAACAACTTTGCTTGATTTGATATTCGGCTATATGTTAGCTATCTTCTATAATAGCTAGCTGCAGGACTTTGCCTTAGAGGACTTTTATAAAACTTTTATTTAGAACACATGAAGTGGGACTAAAACCTAGAGCTAAACTTAAAATGTGCTCTAAAGCAAAGTCCTGAAAATGGATGGAATATAAATCATATCTATATAAATACGGTACCTAAATCCTCTAAAGCTCCTACAACACAAGAGCATACTTAACATAGTTTATGATCTATTATAATTATTTTAATATATTTTACGATTAAACTTTCTCTCTTTTTTTGTATTCTTAATATTCTTTGTTTCTTTCTTAATATAAGTAAGTTAAAGTATATTTTATTCTACCCATGCTGATTTATTTTTCTGCTGCCTATGCATTTGCTAAACTATTTAAACCACATGCCTCAGCAATCAATGCTTTAACCCATCCGGGCCAGTTCTAAAGTTAGGCTAAGTAGTTTTTTCTTGACTTATTTTTCATTGTTTGAACTTGAAGCTAGTTCCATGGAACAATTGCCACCCATCTTGGCCTAGTCACTACTACATAGTCCCAGCTACATTTAAGCCCCACGCTCAAAAGTATGTCACACATTCTTCACACCCATTCAGCCCACTAGACTTGAGTCAATTAAAAGAATTTCGTATTTTTTTGTTGTTCAACATTCTCCGCGGCTTTCAGCGGTTTTTTCTTTTTATTCACTGTTTCAACTGGTGTTGGTTCGATTGGAATTAGTAGCCACGTCCGTAACCGCCACGTCCGTAGTTGTTGCCATGCCAGCTGGCGTCCAGATCGTAGCCAATGACGGCAGCCTGGCGGTAGTTGCCAGGGCGGATGCCAGCAGAGGCAGCGGAAGCGGCGGCAGCAGCCGAGGGATTGGATGAGCGCGAGATCAGGGGCTGGCGATAGCCGCCGATCAGACCACGGCCGCCGCCGATACCACGGCCCCAGCCGCCGCCATAGCCAATATCCTGAACGTAGGCAACTTGGCCAAGATCGCTGCCATAACCGATGTTGCCATAGGGATTGGCATTGATGCAGGCAGCCAGAGCGCACAGAGCGAATGCAATCTGATGAAATGAAACAGGTCAAGGATTAGTCAGCTGGTTGGGTCTAGAGCACTGGTACTGGTGAAGGATCACTTACCAGGAACTTCATGTTGAGTTATTTGGCTTTGCTAGTTGTAGAAATCAATCAAACTATGATTTGCTTGGCACAAGCGTTCGCTTTTATATGCGAAAATTAGACTGGATATGGTTACGTGACAGCCCAGACACACATATCTACATAAGTATATTGTATATATGCATATATTCATATTTAATAAATTTCTATTGCTGTGATATTTCATAAGTGTCTCGTGTACATAAGACAACATTATGTACATTCTCGCATTTAGTATTTACTCGCATTTCGTTGTCGTGTCTACAACAAATTATAAAATCGTTCGGTTACGCGATGTTCCATTGTTTCCGACTTCTGATAATGCCTGGCCCCGCCCCTTTTGCCCCGACATGTGCAAAAACAACGAGCACTTCGTGAGCTCTCAATGAAAACACCCCTAGGCAAAGGCGCGCGACTTTCGTAGCCCCAGTTTAAATATAAGTTATTTTTTATATATTTTATTTCCGATATGTGTGTATGCATTCCTCGCGTTAAAATACAAAAAATATAGAACAGTCTATAGCTGTAAATGGAGCTGTCAACATGAGCTCTACTAGCATGAGCTTTAAGCTGGCCAAAGCTAAGGACTACAAAAAAATGGGGCATACTATAAGGGTAGAGTTAAAGGAAAATGCTAAATTGCCATAGTAAAGAATAGAAGAATTTTTCTTGAAATTCTTTATATATGTAGAAAAGAATATACAATAGTATACGATATAATATACAAATTTTATATAAAATTTAATTTATTTTAAGAATAAGTCTACAATATATGTTCGTTCTTCAGCTCACTTCTTCATTCAGCTTTTAAGCTAAACATAGCTGGAAAATGGCAAAAACTCGCAGTTTTTCACGGTACCCCAAAACCCCGTTAGGAATAAATATTCAAGTTCTTGTTTAAGTTTCTTAAGTTTGGTGGCATTTATTACTTCCTAGTTTCTTCTTATTCGCCTATAAGTCTTAAGCTTTGGTAGCTTTTATTTCACTGTAGTTGAGCTCGCTTAGTAGCCGGAGCTCTTGTAGCCGGAGTTCTTGTAGCCATTGTTCTGGCCAGCCACGGAGCTGGCGGCGGCGGCAGCTGAGCCACCCTGTGCCTCCTCGCCGTAGCCGTAGCTGGACTGCTGGTTGTAGCTCTGGCGGGGGCCGTAAGAGCGCTCCACCAGGCGCTGGGGCTCCTTCCAGAGCAGAGGAGCACCAGCCTTGGGTGCGGCCAGGCCAAGCTTGGCCAGCGACACAGCCTGACGATCGACGGGTGCGGCGCCATAGCCATAGTTGCGGCTGTAGGTGTAGTGGGCAGAGACTGGGACCTCAATGCTCTTGCCGTAGCCGCCGCCATAGCCGCCACCATAGCCGCCACTGCCATAACCGCCAGCGGGGACGATAGCCTTCACGGTGAGAGCAGGCTGCACCTGGTAGGCATAGCCGCCGACGGGTGCACTGCCGTAGCCGCGATTGTACGAACTGGCCGAGACAGCGGCGAGGGCGCAGACGAAAATGCACTGCAGAATAAGAATAGTGGGAAGATGAGCCAATGGCCTGGAGGGATACTGGGGCAGGATGCGCAGACACTTACCATGAACTTCATCATTTTGATGGCTTAGTTGGGTTTGGGTTTAGTTGGGCTGCTAACTAATGTCTGACTGGAGCGACCCGTTTTGCTTATATACTAAAAATCCAGGCAATGCCAACAAATTTCTCGCTTACGTGACGAATATGATGCAAGTTGGGCTCTAGACGATCGTCTGTTCCATGTAGCCAAGTTCTTTGTGTTCCAGCCGCAATCTGAAGACGTCGCTCACCGCTCACCGCTCGTTGCTCACCGCTCGCCGCTCGATTCGACGTGCATGCTAACAACATTGCACTGGCCGCTGCCCCACCCCAATGGGGCGGCCGTCCAAACTTGAACCTCAATTCGGCGCGGGTCCAGATAGCAGGCGTCTGTGCTTACGCCATCGTCTACTGGAGAGTGCTCCCCACGACCATGGCCTCGGCCACGACCACGACCACGACCACGGCCACCACACACTCATTACGCAAGCCAGCTGACTCGTGCGTGCCCAGCTGTGAGTCTGATGCGCCCGTGCGGGCGTCATTTTGATCCACGATTCGTCACCGCTTGCACCACTGTGGCTAGCGAGCTTGACACAGTTTTTCAGCCAAGGCATTGACTGCCACTTTCTGCTGCGTTGGTACAATTTATATACAAAAGCAAAAAAAGTTACGATAAAATTACAATAAAATAATAAACTATAAACAGTTTTTCAAAATTGCAATGCCAAGCACTTTAAATAACTCAAATAAAATAATAATACTTTGCATCCGCTACACACATTCGCACAGGGCACATTGGTTAGCATGAAGAGTTGGAGCTACATTTATTATTATGATTATTATTATATATATTATACTAGTAACTCCTCACATACAGTCTATTAGTTCAGTTCTTTATTATTCACTCAACATTTAAACAAATACAAATTTTAATAGCGACTAACTTCGCGTCGAAAACTTCAGCATATCATATTTTGAAATAACATTAGGATAGCAATCAATAAACTTGTGTAAAGCCATAGAGCATTGTATCAATATTGTCGCATATACATACATAGGTATGTATGCAGGTAAAAGCAATTATTCAAATCAACATTCATCATTAAGTATTATCCCCCATTTGTGTTGGCTTGCGCTCTCGATCTGGCCCAGCTTGTTCAACAACATATTTAACAGAAGCTGACCAAGATTGGCGCACTCAACAGTGTGGAGCTAAGCCTAATCTTGATGAGCGACACGTCTGGCTGGCGGCCACGCGACCTTATAAGAGACGCGCGCCCGTCAGCCCGTACAGAAAACTAGTTCACAACAAACACACACACAGCTCCAAAATGCTTCGTAGTCTGTGCTTTAAGGTGAGTAGATTTAGATTTGTGTGTGGTGTGATGCTAATGTGTGTGGTGTGTGTGTGTGATCCTTTTACAGATCTTGCAGTTTGCCCTGCTCTTCGCCGTGGTCGTCTACCAGAAGCATATTGGAAGCGTTGCCGATGCCAAGCAATTCGAGAGCGATTGTCGCTGCCAGAGGCGGGGCTAAGCTTTGGTTAGCTGAACTGCAGTGTAATTGAGACGAATATAGCAGCACACATCAATAAACAGGGCAGGTCGATGTCGATGCATATATACAAAATTTGAACTGTTTTCATAAACTCGTAGACGACACGTACTGACCAGCTAGCTAGTCGACTAGTTGCTAGCAAGCTGAGCGCCGCACATGGCTTTCAGCCGGGTAAGCAGCGTGTGCAAATGGTGTGAACGCGCGACAGACTCTGCTGTCGATTGCTGTGCGCCTATGCCATGTTTCCCAGTCAAGGTTTCCATATACATGCGCTTGTACAAGGCCGACAGCTGTTTTGGATCCTTGCCGGTGGTTAACAGCAGTTTGATGAGCGTTTTTAATGCATTCTGCAATCGGCTCTCGTAGAGCGTCAAATGTGCTTTGAACTCGTCATCGTCGTCGACGTTCACGCTGCTGTTGCTATCGATGACGTGCCCGAAAATGAGCTGGCACTGGAAACAAATGTCTAAAGCCGCTTGCATATGCTTCACCTTCTGCGTTGCATGACTGGAAACTGCAATAGCAAAAGAAAACCATAAGTTATATAGATATTATTACTAGGTTGTCCCTCTGACACCCACCATCCGATAGAAACTCGTACAACGATATACGCTCCAGTTGCACCACCAGCAAATCGCGCACCTCCTTCAGGCTTTCCAAGATGTGCGTCGCCTTCTCATAGTGGTATTTGCATAGCTGCAGCGTCGCTTTGGGCAGCTGAGATGCATCTGAAACGCTATAGCTACGCAGCTGCGCATAGTGGAAGGATGCAATGCTGAAAATGGAAATCGGTTTATCAGTTTTAAGATCTATTTATAAGTCAAGGCGATATTCTGTTACCGTTTGTGTATAAGGCCAGAGCGAAAGCTATAGAGCACTTGGCGTGCGCCTGCGTGTTCCACATCGCACAGCTTTAGAGATTTCTGCAGCAGGTCCAGCACCTCCTTGGACGCCTCGGCCAGGCTGCTCTTATCGGCGGCGCTGTAATCCTGCAGCTGCTTGGCCAACGTGAACGTGGCTGTCGACAGCTCCCACTGCACAAGATCCCACAGTTCGGGATTGGCTTTTCTAGTATCCAGGCAATCCTTAGCCTTCTCATAGTAGTCAAAGGCTTCGTTATAAAATGTTTTCTGTACATCCAGGCCAATGGTGCTGCAGATTATATAAGATTAATAGCTAGAAATGGAGTAAAATATGAATGCTCAGCATACCTCTCATTTGGCATAGTCAGATGAGCACGCAGCCGCATGAATCTGCCCATGTTGCAGTAGAGGAATGCAAGATTGACATTATCCTTCACCGCTGTAAAGGCTGCGATGCCACGGCGTAGGCAGTCATATGAATTGATTGTCAGCTTCACATATAGAGGCTCTGCTGCAGAGGCTAGTGTTTCAGTTGCATTATCTAATTCAGCTTTCGATTGCTCTGAAGAGCCATTGGCGGCTTCTTCTTTCTTGCGCTTCATTTGGCTGTACTCCTCTGCAAGACAAGAGAAATGTTAAGAGTAGTTCAGAACGGAGAGAGACAGAGAGAAAATTTACCTTGAGCGGAATACATATACTTGAGACCCAGTTCGTTGCGCACATTGCCCAGGCGACGCAGCAGCTCGTTGCTCTCATCGGTCTGCGCGTGCTCCAGTGCATCTTCGTAGCATTTGCAGCTGTGCAGCATCACCTGCTCGACATTCTTAACGGGCACTAGCGTGAGCAGATCTGCATCCTCCAGTTCCTGTGTCAGCTCAGCGTTAATCAAGCTTGAGTGCTCATCCAGCTGCTCATATTGCTGCACATACTGATCGATGGCGCTCCAGTGCTTCGACATTTGAAAGAAACAATCCCCGGCGCGTCCCAGCAGACAGCTCTGCTGGCTGACCACGTTGGCCATGTACTTGTTGAGCACCTGCTGGCAGCGGCAGGCTAGCTCGATGGCGCGCAGCGTGCTGCCATAGACCTGGGCCTCGTAGTAGTACTCCGCTAGAGTGGCATACGTCAGGCAGGCCTTCTCCAGCAGCAGCAGCTTCAAATGCACATTCCACGAGCCAAAGTTTTGAGTATTAAACTTGGCACTGAGTTTCTGAGTAGCCACGGTTGCCGGCTTGGTGTTGTTGTTGCTGGTCAAATCTTTGGATTTGCTGCGTTTAGTCTTTGTCTTGGTGGAACGTTTCTTGGACTGCTGTGCCTGCGCCTGGGCCTGCGGCTGAGCAATCTTTAGCTGCTCGTAGGGCAGTGGTATAGCATTGAAGGGCTTCGCCATGTTGGGATTCTGCTCTTCGTGTAGTATGCGCTGCTTCTCCTCCTGCTTGGCGTGCATTTCCGACTCCTTCAGCTTCTCCTCCTGGTTGCCATTGAAGTACTGCAGGCAAGAGAGACCCGCACTGATGTGCTGCAGCGATATTTTGCAGCGATCGACCGTGCTGGCGATCAGAGGCGCCGGCTTGGGTTGCTTGGCATGCGATTTGAAGTCTCGCAAAGCATCGCAGATGTGACGCACTGCTACATTCGCTTTGCCACCGCTTTCAGCCGCACTCTGGTAGTACTTGTCGCTTCCAAAGTTATTTAAGGGATCGTCATTGTAGTTGTCTTCCTCCTCCTCATCTTCATCCTCAATCTCGTCTTCGTCGTCATTAAACAGCGTTGGCGATTCATTGAATTTGGGAGCCTTTGGGTCAATTCCAGCGGGAACATGCAAATCAGAGAGTATATAGTGGGATGAGCTGACAATCTGTGGATACTGCTCCTTCGGCAACAGCTTGATGCAGTTGTCCAGCAAAGCGCGTATATTGCCCGCTGTCTTCGGTGTTATGTGTTCCAGCGTGTTCTTCATGTTGCGCGCCACAGAGTAGAGCAACATGCCCACAGGCACCGTAAACGGATTCATTTCCTTTTCCTTCTGTTGCTGTGGATGCTCCGGTTCCTCCGCTGCTTTGTTTTGATTCTGATATAGGGTGGTCAAATCGTAGAGCTTGACCACATCATCGTTGCGACCCTTGAACAACCAATAGGTGTGACCCGCCTTGGTCGCATTCGCTTTCAGAAATGCTAAAATATTTTGAGCCACATTACGCACCACCTGTGGTGAGAACTGCGAGTTCTCCAGATAGGGCAGATCCTCAGTCTTAATGATCTCGTATTTCTGCACAATGCCATCCAAATGGTAGCACATCACTACCTCCGGCACATTGCACATTAGATTGTCCAGCCAGTAGTCGATGCCAGTTAGGACATTGATAGGCTGTGCAGCATCACGTAGTCGTAGACTAATGCAGGGCCTGTTCGGACCACCAAAGATGGGCATATCAGTGCCAATCAGCATGCGAATATCCTCGAACGTCCACACAACATTGCGGTTGAAGGCATGGCTTGATTTGGGATCAGGCACATTCTCTTCGATCTTCGGTTCCGGCAGCACAGGTCCAATAATGGGCAGACTTGCTCGCCTGCTGGTCAGCAATGGAGGTTCATTGGCATCGTAGTCCGTATCGCTACTTGGCTTCAGGCTATGGTACAGAAACTTCGAGAGCAAGTTCTTTGTCTGCAGCGCCTCACGGGAACGCTCCTTAATACAGAAATTGTGCTGCTCATCGCCGTAGGCCAGAATGTGCTCGAGTATGAAGCTGCGCAACCATTTCCAATCATCGTCCGACTTGCGCAGCAAATACTTCTGTATATCGAACTCGTCCAGCAACAACGTGTTGCCGACCTTATGCACAACCATGCTGATGGCGCTCTTCGCACTGTATGGCAGTTTTAGTAGCTGTTTGATATTCTCGGCATCCGAGACAACGTCCACCTCGCCCACACAATCGGGAAACATTTGCCCCAGACGGAAGCTGGCGAAGCCGCCGCTCTGATACAACGCCTGATGCAGTCCATGGCTGCTGTGCGAGGTGGTCAGCCAGTTGAGAGGCGGTAGATTGAGATTTGTGTTGCATTCTAAGCGCTTAAAGTGCGCAGGCACTTGAACGGGCGAAAGTTTGATGATGGCTTGGCTTTTCACAGCTTCCAGCTCATGCGGGCCAATGCTGCGACAGGGTTCAATCTATAAGGCGGGCATATTCATTTTTTTGGCTTTACAAATCACTTTCACTTACCTCTTCATTGCTATCTTCCATTGCGTTGTTTAGTCATTTCAATTTTCACACTAATACAAATTGTTCACGAATATTCCACAAGGTTGGCTTTTGTTATGCCGGCAAACAGCTGTGCAATAGCAGCCATCCCTGGTTACGGCAGGGTTGCCCATATTCGCCAAAGAGCACAAAAATCACACGCAGCTATCAGCTGCTGGCTGCATTTAGTTGTTTTTTTTTTTTTCATCAGCAAAGGAAAACAAATTATTGGATCATTTTTATAAAATTAACTCAAAACAAAAGATGGAATTGTTCGTACTAATAGCACTGCTGTGCCTGATCAACACAATCCTTCCCGACATCATTCGCAACTGGGTAAGTGGATCATCTTATTCACCAGTGAGCTGCCGTAGTCAAAAACACATTCACTCCTTAGGTTAAAATATCCCGTTTTTGGAAAGGACCCAAGGTAAAGCCAGAGGATCAAGCAGCGCTGCAAGCAGCCCGCGAAGAGCTTACTCAAGTACAAAATGCAGAGCATTCCGGGGAATATGCAAGGAAAATCAAGACCATGCGTGCCGAGCGCAAAGTCGCCGATGCTGAGAGCAAAATTTTGAGGGCCAGTCAAATGCAGAAGCTTAAACAGTCAACTATTGATACGGTGGCCTACTATGTGACGAAGGTCGTCTTCTCGCTGGTCGTCATCATTGTGTGTGCCCGCCATCGGTACTCGGCTGTGATGATTTTCGACGAGAGTTTTAGTCTACAGCCGCTGAGCGGACTGCTCAGTTTTCCTACTGGCATTTACAATGCAATTTCTGTGCCTACCTGGGCACTGTCATGTAATTTCACGTTTCGACTTCTGTACGATCTGGTCAAAAACTAAGGTGTCACAAATTGAATTGTAATTTTGTAATTTATTGCAATAAGATTTAATTGTAAAAATGCTCGATATAGTTCACATAGCTTTATCAACCTTTTAACATCTAACGCATTAACAGAA